GCTCTGATATTTTCTATCTGATCAATCATGTTACCCATAAAGTTCTGAAGTTTTGGGTCTTGTAACCAAGACCTCGCTTCGCTATCCTCTTCTGGTATCTTAGTAATTTTCTTTTTCACTTTTTCACTATACTGTGCTTTATTTGAACTGCTTGCTTCATTTCTGAGAGCTTCTATAAGCTGTGGGAACTCTTCATCATTCTTTACAAATTCTTTTGGCTTTGCTTTTGGTTGCACTGTTCTCTTCTCTAATTTCTCAAATTTTTTCTTATAAAATTCACACCCGCAGTAGCTGCAGACGTGACTTTATTTACAGAAAATGCAAACAGGCTTTTCTTCAGGTTTAAGTGGGCATACGTTGCTTATGTGTTCTTCTCTACATTTTCAGCATCGAACAGTATTAGTGCATAAGTGTTGCGAGTGGCCCCAGTCTTGGCATCTATAGCACTGTATTGGTCTTCTTCGTGGGTTATATTTTTCCATTTTAATATTTATGCTGAACATATTATTTAATTGATGTATTGCATAACCGCTTTTATTTTTCTTTAATTCAAGGAGCCAGATAGGCACTTTTTCATAGTTGTTTCTTCTGCTTTAGATAAATAGTTTCACTTTTATAATTGGGAATTTTCTTCTTCTTTTATGTCTTCAGGTAATTCTTTCAGTATTACCGCATTTGATGGCATATAAGACGCACCCTTATTTAGAAGGCCATACACAAGGAAAAAAAGTTCCAATAGTCCGCGCGACAGCGCAGTAGCACAATAACTTAAAATGTGGTTTCTTTTAGTTCTCACGTTTCATAAAAGCCAAATAAACAATCATTCAATACAATTACCAATCATAATTTTATTAAGGAAAATTAACAACAATTACCAATCATAATTTTATTAAGGAAAATTAACAAACGGCAAGCTATTTTGAATGTGATATATAAATTTCAATAATGAATAAATGAATGAACGGCAAGCAATCAAACATAATACAAAATAAAGCAGAAAGAACAAAAAACACAGAGTCAAGGAAAACATTGCCTATCAAGAAATTACACTTTAATCACTTTCAAAACCATAAAAATTGTTTTCACTATCATCATCATCAAAAACAAGAATATCATCATCACTACTGTTTCTGTCATCGCTAGTATCACCTTCTTCAAATAATGCATCGTCTTCTGTTCCGTCAAGAGTATTACTAACTCCGCACTTCTTAAAGGACTTAACAATTACTTCAGCCTTTACGTCCTCCCAAGATCTTTTTACTCACTCGCACACTTGTGAAATAGAGGGCTGCTTCATTCTACCTGAGGGCGTGATGTGGCTCTCCTATCCACTTGTTCTAATGTTCTCGCACTTTTTCCTTAAATGGTTTATTCATTGATACATCTAAAGGCTGCAATTGGCTAGTCAGTCCACCAGGAATGACAGCTATCTGGGTATTTAATTCTCTCGCTTTATTCTTTATGGTTTCAGTTCTATGGGCGCTAAACTGATCCAAAACCAAAAGAGAGGGTTTTCTTAAGAGTCCACCAGGTCGCCTCGCCCATAGGTTCTGTAATCACAGTTTCATTCCAGCTTCGTCCATCCAGCCTTTCGGATGAACATGAACAATTACACCCGTTGGAAGTTTTTCTTTCGGATGAGTTTTTCTTTTGAATATGAAAAACGGCGGTAGTTTTGTGCCATCAGCACAACATATTAGAACTACTGTATATCGGGTTTTTTCATGACCTGTGGTTTTTATGTTATTGATTTAGACCCTTTAATACTCACAGTCTTGTTGGATGGTACATTAAATGTGAGTGGAATTTCATTTATATTTCCTATTTGACCGAGCTCAAAAGAAGTTTTCTTGCGTGCATTTATAACAAACCTATGAAATGCTAGTATTTTTTCTTCATAATCTGCTGGCATTTTCTGTGCAATAGTTGTTTTGGTGCGCATTGATAAGCCTTGCCTTTTCATGAACCTATAGCACCAGCCCTCAGACCCTGAAAAGTTCTGATTCCCATGTTTTTCTGCAAATCCTTTGGCCTCATTGATTATAATTTTGGTTGAAACACTTATCCCAGATTTCCTCTTATCTATCACCCACATTTTTATGGCATTTTCAAGTTCAGGCCAAGATGGAGCTGGGCATCGAAGGTTATGTTTTTGTTTTTTAGCAGTGTCCAGTTATCTTCCTGCAGTCGCCAAGTAAATGCCTTGCTGCTGCTCTGTTTCTATGCACTTTGGCGTAGTTTAACACTCCTAGTTTATACTGAATTGTATAGCTTAATCTCTTGTTTCCTGTAGTCATATTTTCCAGGGTATTTGTTTTAAACAAATAGTTTTCAGCACCGATACCGACACGTTTATACAAAGAAGCACCGATACCGACATGTGTGTCGGCTGAGTCAAAGAAATCTATGTAAAGAAGGAAAGGCTCCATAGACATAATGTGACTGCCGAACCTGTTCGAACTTCGACATCAGCTTCGAGCTTTGGCGCTTTGTGGCGACAGATATTTCACGCATGCGGAAAATAATTATGGCAGATGTAGAAAATATTATGTGTGTCTAGATCTTTTTCCGGGCTAAAAATAGCATTCAGTACTGAAAGTTAACCTGTGTCCTTCACGTATAAGACGCAGGTAACTTTTTTGAGACCAAATTTCGGAAAAAAAGTGCGTCTTATATGCCGTCAAATACAGTACTCTAAGTGGCTTTTCATGAGACATTTGAAATGGGATTTCTGCTTCTTTCAATATTCTCGTAACTTTTTTGTGATCGTCTGGGGTTTTAACATTGATAAAAATGGATTTTGATTTCATTTGGGCTTCAAATTCTTCTGTGCATATTTCTCGTAGTAGTGCTTCAATTTTTAGCCAGTCTGCTTTACCTTGTTATAAAAGAATTGGAGGGGGTAACTCATCATGGTTTATAGTTGCTTCTTCATCTGTATTTAAAGTTTTAAGTTTTTTAATCTGTTTTCTTTACTGATTTCCATGGGTTCTGAGCTTAAGGGAGGTTTTGCGAATTTCTTTGGTGATTTCCAACTTCCTTCTTCATCTTTTGTTTCATTATCTTTTTCTTTCTCCATCTCTTCAACTCTTTGTTTTGCTTTTACTTCCTCAATATATTTCATGAGTTTCCTGTTCAGATGTTCTTTCTGAGCCTGAGTGATTGCCTCTAATCCAAAAATCTGTAATAATTTGTATTTTTCCGTACCAGATATTTCATGTATGCTATCCATATTTTATTTCATTTTCAGCACTTCAAGTTATTCTTCCTGAACATTCTTTGAGGTTTTAGCTTTCTTGCTTTTCTTTTTCAGAGATTTGATGAAATCTTCTTTCCTTAGCTTGTGCGATTTCGTTGACCTAAATGATCTATCGAAATCCGTATCCATGTCATCTTCCTCCGTTTTAGACATTGGTGTCCTGAAAAAGGACATTTTCTTGTATCCGAGGGTACCTGATCAGAGTAATTAGTAATAAATGCAAAATCTCAAAGACTTAACTGTCCGCCTACGGGACTAAAACAGTCTTCGCGAATGTGAGAGAAGGAAGTGCTAAATTATTTAATTTCCAAAAAAGTATCATTCATTCTTAATAATAAAAACATTTAGAATACAGTAATTACAGCTGAATATATTCCTGTCAATTTCAACACTAAACTGGAAAAGAGCATTATAGCAAATACTTGGAATTATTTCTTTTACAATTAAAAGAAAATGCTTAGCATATAGAGCAGTAAATATTTTAAGCAGTGATTAAAACAACCATGGGCATAAGGAAACTAAAAAAGCACATGATTTTTCTGTAGCCAAGTGTATAATGTTAGAAGTATCCGTACTATTTCGTTTTGAGGACCGTAAAAAATTGCCAAACTATTGCTGCCAAAAATAATTCCGGCAACTCTAACGTAAGAAAGGAAGTATAATAGTAAATAACTATCTAAGATTATTGTTTTAATTTAGATGAAAGATTAATTTCATGTAATACTTTTTTTATTATTATAATTTATATATAAAAAGGCTAAACATAACTGAATGGATTCCTGCATTGCTATTTCGCTACCGAGTAATCGCTAAAGTTTAATTTCATCTCGTTGGTTATTCAAACAATTTTCTATAATGAATGATGCCTTTTCTTTGAAAAAATTCTATTGCAGACTTTTCATCATGAACAATTCCCAAATTATTAAATCCACAGGATATCAAAAAAGGATTTAAAAATTAAACTAGTACTTCAATGGCATCTTAAGAAATATAGAACTAGCTAAACTTAAGCAATTTGCAATCAGCGCTTACGCTAGATTTGGCACGCAGTTAAATGGGTGCGTTTGCTAGATTTGGCGCTTTTGTGCACACAATTTCGCTGAAATTTTTTTACAGTCCTCAAAACGGAATAGTACCAAAACATCATTTATTAATTCAATCAATGTTGCAAATATTTATACAATCACTTATGAAATTAGACATAAATTATATCAAATATATAACTTCCCCCTCCCCAAAAAAGGGGAAAAAATATTAAGAAAGACATATATATGTACAAATTAGTAGTATACAAATAAAAATTAAATCTATTCCCTTACGATATTGGCAATGGCAATACACAAATGTGCGTAATTCAAGGTGGGAACTTTCTTATCGTAGTAAGTGCCTGTATTCATGCACTTATGTATTTCTTATGATAAAAATTCCTGTATTCATTCATATTATTTTACTAATGCAAACTTGCCAACTTAAATTGCAACATTTTGATGACTTCTTGCATTTAGCAACTGTTTGATGTTTTCATTAATGGGAAAGTATCATAAAAAATTAAATGTATAATTTTAATACCAAGGATGCTGATGTTCCTAATCACAGCAAAGCTCCAAAAAGAATTGTATTTATGTACATTATGTCACACTTTGATGAATTTGCTTACACTCACTACTTTATTCAAAAATAATATCGCTTTTTTCAAATTAAAGTTAAAAAATAATCATCATTTAAAATTTACAATAGTTACCTGTATATATATACATCAACTTGTCCAGCAGTTTTGCCAGATTTTCGTACCACAGTCTTCCGCACCCAGCCTTTCGGCAAATTATGCTGATCTTCAGCACCATCACTTGCTAACACTTTTTTTGCTTTCGCAACCTTCTTTGCTTTAGTAGCTTCTTCAGCATCAGCTGCATTTTTCTTTTTAGTAGCATTTTCATCACTTGAATTATTATTTATTGCTTCTTCTGATATATTTTCAACTTCCTCAACAATTGAATGATCAAGAACATTTTCTTTCTCTTCAAATTTTCTTTTCCGACTTTTTCTTTTTGCTTTTGACTGTTCTTCATCTGCAACTGGTCCTTGCTTTTCATTACTTTTCTCTTCATCTACAACTTCACTTACTGTATTGCCTTCATGACTCAGAACTTCTTTTTTTGTTTGACTCTATTGAAAAATAATAAATATATAAATAAAATTTGCTGTTTTGAATTCATTTTTAATAATAAAAAAATATATTTATATATATATAAACTTATTTTTTTTTAATTTCATGTATTAAGGGCCTTTTTTAAATTAAATTTTTTAGAAGGTTATGAAAAATTCAATTGAAATAAAAAATATACATAAAATTCTTGATTAATTTTTTAAAATTAAATGTAGCAAAAATGAGAAGATGGAACACATTTAACAGAGTTACTTTTAGTGTACTCCATTCCATGGTATATAAATTTAAATAAGATGTAGGCCAGTCTACTTGCTGGAACACTTTTGCCCTCAAGGTAATCAGTTACAAGAGTAGCATGATGAAAACACAAATTACTATCCATTAGGAGGAAATTACTATCGATTTCACCTCTAAACAGCTTGACATTAGGATAAAGAACTTCTGTATACTTCAACATTCATAGTTGCACTGGTAAAAATCTATAGGTCAGTGCAGAATGCAATATGATACCTGCCAATATCATGATTCTACCATCTTGGAACCGATACCTTTCACAAATCTTTTCAGGCTTATTGAACATTATGCTTTCTCCAGATTATAACACATCTGAAATCAGTCTCCAAATAAGAAGACTCATAATAAAGCTACAGCTTGTGGCACTCTAATCAAAATTACCTCTGCATAACTGCAAAAGAGCACATTTTATATCCAAGTTAATGCAACACAAATCATGGATTTTCTTGCATATAGCACTCTTTTATGCAGCCTGTCACTCATAGTATATTTGGATAGTTGAGTTCTTCTAGCTGCAGCAAACATCCTTGTAATCTGGGCTGATATCAGCTGCCTGTTTCTTTTAGCAATCGGTAATAATAGTTCTGGGAATCCATTTGAGCAAGGTTTTTGACCTTGACACACACACACACCACAAAAAAAAAAGTCTGAAACATCCATTTTTACCCATTTCCTCACATGCTAAAAGAGAAAGTGCAAAAACCTGCCCATTACTGTATAATGAAGGTGAATCCAACATGAACATGAAACATAAACCTTGGGATACCAATTAACTATATTTCATAATTCTGTCCATTGGTATGTAAATCATTCATTAATCTTTCATTAATCTTTCATCCCATCATTTATTAATCTTTAACACAGTTTGAAACAGTTAATAATACAAATTTTCCTAGAAGAGTCACACAACCTGTGTATCATGAGGGGTGGAAATCTTTCAGTATAGCCATGTGGATTTGTAAATATCAGTTTGGCAATCTAGGTTTAAGAATGCCAGTCACAGAAGTTCTAAGAATAGCACTTGAACAACATTTTAACAAAAGGAACCAAATAAGCAGGCAGACCAGTGAGAGAAGAAGGGTTGAAGATGGGGGGGGGGGGGGGGACTCTACAGAATGAACACATTCTTAGGAAAGACTGGACTGGACTGAAAGATGGATGACAAAACTGATGAAACACAATTCAAAAATTAAATTAAATAGTTTTTCCCCCTTCCCTTATCACATAAGGCAACAAGTTGTTAATATTTTACTATATATTCCAACACTTTCTCATCATCCCAAACCCTGCAAAAAGTCATGAAAAAGCATTCATGAAGCAAAGTGCTATACCAATGAAGTAGTTTTAAGCAATGCAAGATATCACCAAAAATGTATTTATGTAGCAATCCGGGTGTGCGTGTAAGCACATGTCTGTTTTGGCTGAGCCATAATACCGAAGTTCATGGATGCCAATTTTTTTTATTTCTTTGATTTTTAAAATCAAAAATAGAGATAAAATAATAGAGACAACGGACGAACACAGTAAAAAAAGGGGGGGATTTCTTGAAAAACGTCAGAGTTCTATTACAGATGTTTCTTGCCTTTTCAATTTTACTGATTGATTGCTCTTGTATGGAAACCTTAGTGTGTTACTATTTCTTTTGAAAATTGCTGATGCCTTTCGAACATTAGCTTGCTGAAAACAGGGTTCATAGCCACATTTTAGTTTAAAAAATAAGCACCTATAAGCACTTTTCAAGCACATTTTAAGAAAAAAAATAAGCACTTGTCTAATTACATTATACACAACTGCATAACTTCAAAAATTAGACTTGTAATTTAAAATATGAGAAATGCGGTATTTATTAAGAGAGAATAAGCATGGAACCTCAACCATGGAAAATAATTACTTTCTTTTTAATTTTAAATAACAGTTTAATTTACAGAACTAGTTTACAATAAGAGAAAAAAAAAACTATGCACAACTAAACTATATTACAAGATTTAATAATGAAATTTCAGTTCAAAATAGAGGAAATAAATAATAATAAGGCATATTTATTCTATTCGCTTGGAACTTTAATAATAAATGCAATTTATTTTCCCGCTCATATTGATATTTAACTAATTTAAATCTAAATTCTGAACATTTTCTAAATTTTCATCGTATATCAGTTTTTCCTTAACAGATATTGCAAGCAAAGTAATTTAAGTAAAAAGAGAGGAACATTTCTGAAATCACAAGACAGAAATTTGCTTCATGCAGTCATCCTTTAACAGTAAAAGCTTAACTACCCGCATACTTGAAAATTAGAGAATATTCGGACAGTCGAGGGTAACTTGAAAAAGAGGAGTGGAGGGGGGATAGACTGTAGCCGTTCTTTAGATTTTCCCCCTAAATAAATGCTTTTGACATTTTGATATGTGCATCATATAAAAACAAACCAACGGAACAGAAAAATATTCTGCTTAGCAAGCAGAGTAAAACTCTTTTAAGTGTTCATAAACAAATCTCGGACCGAACATCAAAATTAATTATCTCTGCAAAATATCACAAACGTTATTCGCAATACGTGCACTGTAACTCTTCCCTACATGATTTACGCAATCGGATTCAACAGCTGCCGATATTGGGAGAATAAAGAACTAAATCAAGGAAAAGAAAGAGAGTGTTTTTTATTCTAATTTTCAACAGACTGCGTTAAATTTCCGGAATAGAATCATTCTTCGCTTGGGTTGGCAGACCGCAAAATTTTTAGTCCTATTCAATCCAGATTGGAAAGTGACTAACAAAAAAAAAAAAAAAAGTCCGCTGCTTGTTTTGCAACAAACTGTAACAGATTCAATATTCAAGATTTTGCGGAGAAAGGGGAGAACCTCCAACCTTCGTACTGTATAATGCATTGACCAAAAAAATGAAATTATTTTGACTATTTGATTACTTTCCCTTTATTTACGCCATTCCGAATATTATTAAATAGAAAGCTAATCTGTGTTAAAACACAACCATTTTTGGAAGTTTACTATACTTCAGCAGTTACTGCAACTATGTTATTATAAACATTCATACATATGCTCATAATAAACGCATAACGATCATAATAAACATGAATATGAACTGACCAAGCAGAACGAGAATGCAAATTATTAAGATCTTGATAGAAATTCAAACGTATGTAGTAATTGGGTGGGAGGAAAAGAATGGCAAATGTACCGGAATTTTTCTACTGCTTTCGCAATTCTTTGACCAACAGAACCACGGGCACCTGTCTGTACTTTCCGCGCACACCAGAGGTTGTGTTAATACAGAGAAAGGGGGAAAAGCTATTTCTGGGAGTATGATTCACAATCTGACATTTCATATTAGGAAGAAAAGTTGTTTATTTAGTTTCGGCTTTGGTACCGGGAAAAATTGCGCGTTCATTTAAAAAAAGCACCAAGCAAAAAATAAGCACTAAAAACAAAAAAATAAGGGCTTTAAAGAAAAAGTAAGCACCTATAAGAGCCTTTATATTTTATTTTCAAATATAAGGACTTATAAGCACTTGTAAGGACCGCTACGAACCCCGTGAAAAATTATGCCCCAAAATTCATAAAATTTCCGAGAAAGTACCAATATTTTCATACCATTAAAAATAGATATACATATATTTATCTGTTTAATCTCTATGATGCTAAATTATTACAGAAAAAAAAATCCTACAGTTAATCCTTTCTAAGAAAATGGTCTGTAATTTATTTTCTATGAAGGTTAATTCATTTTCTTAAGGTGAACCCATCATAAGAGGTAATACTGGACCTTATGTATTAACACAACCACCTTGGAGTAATTTGGTGCTTTTTACAGATGAGAGAGAAGTTACTTATCAGAAAGTCCTGCCCCCACTTTTAAAAAAGATTCGAAAACCATCGAGATTTATCAGCAAAGAATACTAGCATATCAAAAGAAAACAGACTTTAGTAATTAAAAAAATTAATTGTTAAATAAGAATTATATAATACATTAAAAAAATAAATGCTTAAATTTTTCGTGAAATATTCTGTAATTTCCACTGTTTTCTCTGTCTTCACCTCCCCCCCAAAAAACCCACAGAGAAACACTGCATAAACTCGGCATTCCATGCAACCAAGGCACTTAACATCAGCTATTTACCAACATACACACACTTCCAAAAGTTAAGCACGAAGATGTAAAATGCAAAAAAATCAACAAATACTGATTTGATTGACACAAAATTCGGCAGGAAAGTAGCATATATATTTATGCACAAAACAAAATCAATAATTATATACAGAAATCAAAACAATATTAAATTTTTGTAAGTTATCAGATCATGACATACTGAAGACTTAAACAGAATTATGTATAAAGTGAAAATAAACAGCATAAATGAAAAAAAGGAACATTAATAGGGTATGTGATCCCCCTCCCTTATCTGTATACAAAGTTTACAACTTGTGACCATGCTTTCAACTAGGTGGTCAACCACCGCAGAATTAAGCAATCGCCATTCTTCTTGTAGAGCAGTTTCCAGCTCAATAAAGAGTGGATGGAGGTGAAAAACGTGAAGATACAGCACGACCGAGAGCATCCCAAAGATTTTCAATGGGATTAAGGTGGCGCAAATATGCTGGCCACGCCATACACACAATCCCTTCGCTCTCCAGGTAGTCATCGACGACGTCAGCTCTATGAGGATGTGCGTTATCGTCTATTAAAACAAAAGTAGGGCCAACTGCTGCAGTGTACAATCTCACAATGGGTTCTAGGACTTCATCTCAATACCGCACAGCCGTCAGAGAACCCCGTTTAAAGATGTGCACGTAGGTGCATTATCCTAATGAAATCTCTGCCCACACCATAATGCTTCCGCCTCAGAATGCGTGATGTTCAGTGATGTTTTGGCACTGATTGCGTGTTTGTTTTTCACGCCATATCCTTATACGCTTGTCATCTGGTTCCAGAGCAAATCTTGACTCATCAGTAAACATGACATTGCCCCAGTCAGACACATTCCAACTGACGTGTTCCCGGCTCCACTGTAATTATGCTCTTCTTGATTGGACGGATAGAGGAACACAAACTCGAGGTACCCAGGCGTACAGTCCACTCATATGTAATCTTCGGCGTACAGTAGCTGCAGATATCGCCTTATCAATGGACGCTATAACCACAGACGTCACACGTGTGGAGGTCGCTCTGCAATTCTGCTTGGCTACAATAGCAATATATCCATCTTCCACAGGGTTGTAACCCTTGGGCGACCGGCTACGGGCCTTCGGACAACTGTCGTTGTGGTTTGGAATTGTTTCCATAAACGTGAAATTACAGAATGATGAATGCCGAAGAAAACAACATCTGTGAACGACTGTCCTGGTTCAATAGCAGCACACCAGTGCTCATAATCTTCCATTCATCTTCTGGAAGTCATAAAAACACGTATGTCTTGAAAACAAATTGTACAAAAGTTTTAAACACCTTCTATCAACACTTATGATCAATTTCTGTAACCCTTCATAAAACTGGCTTCTTATAAGACTGCCTTTTTTGCATATTTATTGACATCAAAGCACGATTGGCTGTTACCTAACATATTTGCATACTTCCAACTACCTCTGCAGCGAATTGCATCCTCTTCAATTCTGATTGGCTTCCAGAAATTAGCATTTTCCTCTCCATGCTTAACTTTTGGAAGTGAGTGTATATCAACACTGTTCTCTTTAGCAATTTTTTGACAAAATACCGTATTCCTGCATAAATTTTACCATAGTTTCTTTCTTTACAGGCAAATTTCATAGCATATATTTTAAAATTGAATTTAAGGCAAACAATATCATGATTTGTCTATGAAAAAGCATTAGAACTTGAAATGCAGCAAAATGAATGCATATTATGCAATGCTACTACATTAAAGAATTGTAATTGCTGTCTGAAGAATGGTTATGCGTGTGGTTGCCAAATTCTGACAATTTGATGACTTCTACCAAGGTGGTTACGATAATACATAACTACCATGATGCTGAACGCTAATGCTGAAATACTGAATACAAGTGTGCAGAAACAATGGTCACTTTCAGTGCCACAATGTTCAAGTGCATTTCATTAGCATGCTATTTTAACCTAGCAAGCTGAAACAGTGCTGATATGAATTCACAGCTTAAGTATATAATGCATTAAATGATAATCATGGCTAGTACTGCTTCTGGTTAAATTTAAATCACACAATTTCTTCAAAGAAAATAACAACTGATCAGGAATATTTTAGAGATAAAATAGTATTACTTTCAAAAGAAAAACTAATTAATTTAAACACATAAAAAAATCTTTTCACTTTTTTCCTGATAAATCTTCACAAACCCCAGAAGCATTATATTTCACAATTACATGATATTATGATACGAGAAGCAAATTTATATGTATACAGTTAATAATTTTAATTACATATTTAAATTACTAATGTAAATTAAAATATTACTTTTTTTGAAGATGCATTTTTCTTTGGAGACTTCGATTTAGCTTTGCTAGTTAATTTTTTGGTCACTTTCTGAGCTTTTGTACCTCTAGATGCTCTAGGTTTCTCAGCTGTGGCATGATCCTCAGCACCGTCCAGTTGATTTCCAGTAGTTTCAGAAGATTTTGTAAGGTCACCCTAAGTTAGTTAAAAAAAATCGTCTTTTAATTTTAAAATGTCAAAAACTGCATTAAAATACCATAAATACATTCAAAAGGGGACATGATATTTTTCAACCAAAATTTATCTTTAAAGAAAGAAATCTGAAAATAATCTGCCACTTTTTTGGTTACGGCTGGTCACATTTCCTTAGTTACCTTTTCTGTAACAAAACATACATCCTATTTTATGGATCACGACTTATTTTACACATAAAAATATAAATAGCAAGAGAAAAAATAACATAAAGAGGGTACATAAATAAAAATTATAAAACAACTGCTTTCTATATGTTAACCCTCCGCGTACAGCGCACGCGATTTGAGCGGGTTATCTGTTTCATCCCTCACTATGAGTGACGTTGGGTTTCCCCCCGATTTCAATGCGGATCCTGCCATTTCTCCGTGTATGTTAATAAATTATCATCTGATGCTTATTTTCACTGCTAGATAGCAATAGAGGGTTCAGGATTTTTTTTTAATTGATTTTTTTTGGCTTGGATTTTTTTCCCATGTATTTGTGAGTTTGCATGCTTTCTTTTGTCTTTCACGCGATAAACATTTATGAAAGATATGGATTTGCCGAGTGTCAGCGGCGTTATATGTAGGAATAGCAAATGAAAATATCTTGATTATAAAGATAGTGATTCTGATTGGGAGTATTCCATAAATCTGGGCAGTGATGATGGTAGTGAAGACTCATCGGAAAGTCAGTTATCTGGAATTGAATCTGAAGATTCCGATGATGATAGAACAATTAAGAATGCTCATTCATGGATGAGAATAAACATGAATAACCCGCCTCATTCTCCCCCTAGATTTCAGTTTTCCAGTGATCCATAAGTACTCACGAATATAAAGTGAAGAAAACGGACCTTTGGAATTTTTCAGCTTATTTACGGATAGAGACTTACAAGATTTGATAGTAAATGAAACAAATAGATTTGCCTCTCAACATCCCTCTGCTAATCTAAGGAAGCGTAAACCCTGGATTCCAACAAATGTTGATGAAATGATGCTATTTTTTGCCCTTTTATTTTTGCAAAGTTTGGTAAAAAAGTCAGATTATCACTGGTATTGGTCGAAAAGAGAATCTATAAACACTCCAATATTTTCAAAAATTATGAAACGTGATCGTTTTTACTTGTTGATGAGGGATCTCCATTTTGTCAATAACGAAAATTTTGATCCGTCAACGCATCCTTGCGCTAAGTTATGAAAAATTTATGATGTTATTGAGCACATTAGAAAGAAGTTTTGTGAAATAGTTAATCCCGAAGGACAGCTCACTGTAGATGAATCACTAATGCTTTACAAAGGTCGTTTGTCACGGAAACAGTATATTCCTTTGAAATGTTCATGGTTTGGGATAAAATTTTTCATGCTATGTGAAGCTTCGTCAAGTTACATATGCGACTTCCTTTTGTATACGGGAAAAGGTATGTCTCTGTTACCGGAATACTCATCATATCCACAATCAACTGCTGTTGTTCTTCACCTGTTACACCGATTTCTAAACAGAGGATTTTGCGTAACTGTTGATAATTACTATATGTCGCCAAGCTTGGCAGATATTCTTGTTCAAACGAAAACAGACATATATGGTGCACTCCGTAGTAACAGAAAAAATTTACCTCCAGGTTTTGCAAAAGAAAAAGTAGAAAAGGGACAATCCATTGCATATCAGCGTGGAAAGGTTATGGTACTGAAGTGGAAAGATAAAAAAATAGTAAATATGCTTAGTACTTTCCATGATACTTTGTCTGTTTCAGTCCATTCTGGGACAACAAAGGAAACACTAAAACCGAAAGTGATTTATGATTACAACTTTACAATGAGTGGCGTCGACAGATGCGATCAGGAGATGTTGTATTACCCAAGTACCCGAAAACAACGAGAGTATTATAAGAAAATGTTTTTCTTCTTATTGGATCAGTCATTGTGGAATTCATATATAGTATACAGAAAAATTACAAAAACAAGTAAATCTCTCCTTGATTTCAAATTAGCTGTGATCGAAGAAATTTTTGACAAATATTCTTCTTCTATATATGCATCAAATTGTACCAGCAATGCTAGCAATAGCTGTATTTGGCTTATAGAAAGGCATTTTGCTACCCACATTCCACCAAATCCAATAAAAAAGGAACCTAGGAGACAATGTGCTGTATGTTGCTCCAAAAAAGACAAAAATGGGAAGATACGCAAAGAGACTCGCATTTGGTGCGAAGAGTGTCAAGTTGGACTATGTTTAGAGCCATGTTTCAAAGTGTATCACACTCAAAAAAACATTCCATAATAATGATGTCAGTAAAAATAATACAATCTTTTTCTAAGATCAATTAAGTAAGTTGTAATATTTTACCAATAATGAAAACTTTTTTTTCTATTTTATGTATATATTTTAATAAAGTAAAACTGATTTTTTTCTTTTATTTTTTCTGTTTCATTACAAAATTTCTGTAATATTTTTAGAGACAAATTGTTTAAAAATTATATTCATCTGAAAATACAAATATCGCGTGATTTTTTTAACTTATAAACCACGCCCGCTGAAATAACGAGTGCCGTATTATGTATTTTTTTGAAAATGGAAAAGATATTAAAATTATTGTATTATTTTAAAACAGCTGATAAAGATGTGAATTGTAACATATGTAGATAAAGAAAATATTTAAAAAAATCACCCCGTATTTCAGAACCGGAAAGTATAAAAATGAGCCGTACGCGGCGGGTTAAGGCTTTATAGAAAACACACATACAACTATAGTTTCTGACAGAAGACAATCTAATTGCCATCATCACAGCACCAAAAGAATTTTCTTCTTTCAAATTTTCCTACACATAAATTCTGCTAAATATCAATCTAAGAGGTGTCTAACAGTACCCTGTTACTTTCTGCTTTGCCACTTTGAGAAGTTACATAACTTTTTAAGATTTCAGGTGTGTGTCATTGTAATACGATTAACAAAATTATGTTTGTCCCTTATTGCCCAATAAATGTATCCTGCGTCCTCAAACTGTTAGGTTGAATAACCTTTCCAGCAAGCCATAAATAACACTGAACTCTGCCATATTTTCTTTAATCACTTGAAGTATTAATTTTTTTTTTTTTTTTTCCTTTTTTTTAAATCAGCTTCAAAAATTTATTTTGCAACAAATACCCCTGAAAATTTACTGTTTCTTAGAGCATAGTTCTTCTCCTTAGCAAATAAGCTTTCATCAACTTCTAAGATTTTATTGTCCCCACTGATCTAGTGATTTTCATCTTTCAATGGATTTGGAATACAGTTTCATGTGAGCAAATATACAAATTAATAATACTTTCTGGCAACATATAAAGTTCTCTTTTTTAATATTTTATGAAAGTCATTTCAAAACACCAACTATAAACAAATCATTATGCAGCTGCAGACAATTATTCTTGACTAAATTTAGATTCAACATGATGGTATTCCGACAAATTTTTAACTTAGGAATTATACAAAACTTTGGAAACAGCTATACTTTCTGGTAAAGTCTGCAGCAAATTCTTTGTAAACATATTAATATCCGATTGTCATAATTAAACTCTTAAATGACAAAACAGCAGAAAAAGCAAAGCATAAAAATGGTGTGTTTAGCATTCACAAGTAGCTACACATAAAGAGATTGAGGAGGGGGAAAAAAGAGCACAGAAAACACAGAAAAAAGTAAGTGGCGCAAAGGATATTTGTTTTTGTCCCCAAGGAAATGTCACCAGCTGTAACAGATACATACGAAACATTTTCTAAAGCTATGCCACTCACATTAATGGTTGGAGTAGAGTTTAAGGTACCCCTTGTATTATGCCGAAGTTGTTTTATTTATCGCCAAGCTGTTGTTTCATTAATGGTAGTCTGAGTAGTTGAATGTTATGGAAACCCTATTGTGGCGTAATCGGGTGCACGATTCTGGGAAATCTTGAATCATGGGATGTTTTGTAAGGACTTTTGTAGTGTGTTTTGGTTTTATTGTTTAAGATGGTAGAATGGCTGAATGTAGTAAGATTAATTTGAAGTTTCTGTACGATTCAGAACGAAAGGGGAAAAGAGCGTTAATTAACTCGTGTGTAAATGAAGGTTTACTTAGTAGCATATAAGTGTCGATGTACGAGAATATGCGTCTAGTCGAACGTAAAAACTTTAGAGGATTTGAATGGGGGTCAGAAGAAAGGTTAGATGTGCGACGCCAATAGCGGATTCGAGTTCGATAATCTTAGAATTTTGGATGCTGTTAAGGAATTTTTGTATGCCACAGACTAAAGACGAAGGAACTTCTAAATAGGGTAGTGGATATTTGCTTTTGTAGTGCTTAATGATAACATGTTTTTCCTTTTTTATGTTATTTTATTGTTGGTTTAAAATGTAGTTTATTGAGATTATGCATTTTTCTTTGCCTGTATTGCAGAATTGGGTGCTCCTTTGACTTTTCAAGTGAAAATATATTGACGTGTACATGGACAAAGTGAAGGGAAGTTTGTACAATTCTTGGACTTTTTTAAGTGAAAATAGGTCAACGTGTACATGGATAAAGTCAAGGGAGTGTGCAATGCCATTTTTGTGCAATTTGGGGATTTTTTTTAAGTGAAAATAGGTCGATGTGTACATGGATACCGAGTTTGTGCAATTCTTAGTCTCGTTATTTTGGCTTTGTGTAGCGGCAGTTATGCAAGCCAAAATAATAAGTCAAAAAATTGCACAAACTCGGTATCCATGTACCGCCAAAAATCGCCAAAGGGTACCCTAAAATATACTTTTACCACATTCAACTTCAGAGCGAATCAAACAATTTTTTTTTTTTTTTTAACTGATTGACAATAATTGTTTCTTATGACTTTAGTTGTAGCACTGTTAACCCATGACAACGAAAATTAAGCTTAATGTCAAAATTCAGGAACTTTAATGGTATTTTCACACTATAATAATTTCAGAATATACTATGTGAAATGCCAAAGCACCT